AAGAACCGATTACCCAACAAATAAAAAGAAGGATGGTTAGTTCGAACATGATTGCCTAGTGCCTGACTATGCGCCCTACTTATTGTTTTATGGTTGCCCAGGAAAGAGCTAGGTGTGGTTTCTATTGGCTGAAAATCGACTGCTTAAGCCAATGAGTCACATGCCCACGATATGGAAATAAAGATGAGTTGGATATATGGTTCACCTAAAGAATCCTTCTAATGATGGGTTAGGGTGTTCGAAGGTGATATGGATAAGATCATGTGAAGACGGATGAAAATAATGGAAGACAACAAGGTGGAATGGAGACGTGCACCTAATGCGCCACAATCCATTCAGAATGCCAGGTAAGATAGATGAAAATAAGAATGGGAGGTTTATTTTTAACATTCCTACAATACACCTTTTTGAGAAACAGACACTGTAATATATCAATTAAGAAAAAAATAAGTCCTCAAAATCCCCCCCTTAACCCACAGTTATGAAAAAACAGAAGTACACTAAAAATCATACTAATATAAATGTAAAACTTGGGCACTATGGTAGCAGATAACTCCGTACTAATTTGTTTATTAGATATACCACACAGTAAAACAGCATTATTTACTGGATGATGAAGTTTCAAACACAATTGATTCTTGTTCATGATCATATCAATTGTAACCACACAACATCGAAGCTTGAGTTTCACAGTTTTCTTTATTCATTACTATTTGTCGTCATAGGGATAGTAGAATTTCTCACATGTCCGAGTGGAAAAGTATTGAGTCATTCCTATTACACACGTTTTTTCAGTTTATTCGATAAACAAACCTTCCGTCATCAATGTCAACAACGCCAAGAACTTGAACTTAGAACAAAAGTGCCACAATAGGACATAATGCCAGGAGTGAAGCTATGCCTGACTTCCACAGTATTTAGATTCCAAGGCAAAACGCACAAACTATCTGAAGTAGTTGCTATGGGCATTCAAGCCCACAAACTCATTTAGAAACAAGCTTTGTCGGTTAAAGGATCAGCTGGTGGACCCAGTTAAAGAAAACAATTTAGTTTATCTAATACTCCGTCTGCAATGATTGTCAGGTCAAATACATAGGTCAAAGTAGTAGAACAGGGGCAGTTAGTCAGACTAGCAAAGCACAAAATACTAGTAAAATGTAGATTAGTTGACCCGAATAAGATAGAAATCTAGAGGATAGCGAAGTTATAGCACTACATGCAATTACACACAACTACACAAAAGGATGGGATGGGATAAGATAACAGCTTTAAAATCTAATGTAAAAGGGTAGAAGGAGAGATTGATAACGGAAGCTTTGTTTATCGAATCAACTGACAGGGAATACGTGTGATAGGAATGATTCAACACTTGTCCACTGGGACATCTGAGAAATTCTGCTTTCTCTACGATGAATAGGAAAGAGTAAAGAAAACTACAAAGTGGAAGTTATGAAGTTGTATGGTGGCGTCGGTGGCAGAGCGGTTAGGACTCTCACCGACCATGAACATGGTCTGGGGTTCGATCCCCAGCCGATGCACATCTGATATCAATTGGTCAGCCTGCAAAATTTGAGCTAGCGATATCACATGCTGAAAATTCCATACTTGTACTAATAATATGGTGTGGAATCAAGCTATAATAAAAAAAATCAAAATAATTGATTTTATGATTATGAACAATAAATAAATTGTGGCTGGGGCTTCGTCATCCAGTAAATATTACTGTTTCACTGTGTGATATTTCTGATAAGCACATTACTGTGGAATTACCCTCAAAATCACATTATAGACTAATATATTAGGCTGTACAATATACAAAACCCTGTTGAAAGGTATTCAGTGTGTTGATGAGCCTAAAATTGCTGCTGAAATTAGATTGTTTGTATTAAATGACTGAAAGAATGAAGGATCTCTTGAACAAATGCAATAAATTACCAAAGAGAATGGCAGAAATGTTTTAACCAATGGCACACAAACTTGGTTTTGCTCAATTTATCTGTCTAATTTTTCCAATAAAACTGGTACCTTCAAGAGTTAGTTTGTAGGCAATTGGTTTGTTTTAAGTTGGTTGATCGCGCTAAAATCGAGAATTGAAAAAAGTTAGAATTCGCAGATCATTGAATTCCTGCCCAGTTGGCTGAATAGTCAATGAGCATGGCCTCGTAACCTGATTACGCTTTGGGTGCGTACTGCTGAAGAGACCCAAACTAGGGCAAAGCAGCTGTTCAGTACTGTCTGGTTTTCAAGCATTCTCTAATTGATATCAGTATGTCATCGAGCTCAAAAGGCTAAGGTTTGATTCCCAGCCAGTGAGATTTGCACACTTTCTGAGGATATTAGCACTATCACTCAGTCAATATTTAAAATGGAGGATTTTTTAAAATCAATACAAATAACGCATCTTACGGGTGAATGAACACATGACAGGTAAAGCTTCACGTATAAGATTTTGTATTTCACAATGGACGGAAAACAAAAGGACATTGTTTTTACTCACGTTTCACTATTTAATGTTGCTGCTAATAGCTTTATCAAAGAATTATTAAACTGGAATTTAAAAAATCCCGCCTATAATACTCCAACTTATTCATTTTTCCTCAGCATGAGGTAGTTTTTACGTTGTGAAGCTGGTCACCTGGTAAAGATGACGAAACTAAGTGTAGATTGTTGGATTTGATAAGCGTATAAAACTGTAAAAGCAGCATGCGTTTACATAATGAAATTGTTTATCACATTCGTGTTGATTTTATCATTTCATGGGGGAGGGGGGGCTGTTTTAACTAGGTCGAATTCTCCATTATGGATAAAATTTTATTCTGATAAAATCACACAGTGTTATACAGTAATATTTACTAATAACCACGTTCCGAGCACAATTTATTATCGCCCATAATCATATCAAGTCACTCACACAACTTCCTTGCTTCATTTATATACATAAGTAAAGATTGGTGATTAGACATTTAAGTAAAATCACTATAAGATAATGTACATTCAGAAATAATAATATGAGTGTTATCAATCAAATACAATCAGATGGGAAATAAGACGAGTGTTTTTATTGTCAAAATAAATAAGTAACTTGTTTGAATGTTATGATGTAAATTGAATACATTTTAACGTCATTTATCATTCTCCGACTTGACTTGTAATAATATCTTCCATACATATCTCTGATATTTGCGTTGAGCCATTTCTGTTGCATGTGTTGTGTTGTATGTAAACTCGATGAACCAGGCAGGATTCAGTAATCAATCTCTGTCTCCATCAACCTATAATACTTTTTAGAATTTTGACTCTGTCTCACCCACCTTATTGTGTGGTTGTGTGTTAATGCGAGTTAATGCATACAGTGTGATTGCTGAGTTCCTCTTTCTAAATGACTTGTCTCCATGCAGTCAATCATTCTAAATTTAGCTAAATTCTTATGTTCTGATAATCTCACTACCCCCACCATATCTTCTAGTTTAACCTATGTAGTTGACCTCATTCACAGTCACTGCAAGGTATTTTCTAAATTATATTATTTTGTTTAATCGGGTCCACCATGCCCTTTAGCCTACAGAGCTTGTCCTGACTGAGTGAGTTTGTAGGTTTATCCTAATATCAGCTTAAATTCTGTTTTAGTCCATCATTCCAATTCAGACAATTCGGATTCCATTTGATATGAAGTGCTTCTGATGATATCAGACGTTCTTTGTGATTTCTGAAATTTTTTTGGATTATTTCAGTGTTGTCAAAATAAATTTTGTGACCTGATTCTATAGCGTGTAGACGAGCTACGACTGATGGTTTCCCAATTCTTTCTAATTCATCTGGATTTCTCAGTGGTCGAATAGAGGCATCTCCTTGGCGTTCATTTCTTCTGATTTTGATTTCCCCTGGCGAGGTTTGTCCGATGTATATCGCATCATATTTCAAGCACTTTATTTTACAGACACAATGTATGCGGTATGTAACTCAGGTGACTGTTATTCCAAAATAAATATCATTTCCTCTTTATCATTCTTTGAGTGCCATGTAGAACATAAGATGACAAGCTTCAGTCTTTGAAGTTTCAGTGACTGTGATGTCGCTGTTTTTACGGGGTGAATTTTGTAGCTTCAGGCTCAACCTTCTGTCTTTTCCAAGTTAACCACTAGCTAGACAAGATTAAGCGGAATACATCCTCCGAGAGTCAAGCCTGCCACTCTCGCGTAGTTAACCCACTGACGCATTATCAATTCTCAGTGGATTCTATCGAAAAAGCCATCTACCTTGTCAGTCTACGTGTAAGCTATAAACACACATTATAAATTTATTTAACGTATTTATCAAATATATTTCCTGTGTGTTGAAGTTTCTCTGGCTTTTTGAAAGATTTATTAGTGTGAGGTTGCTAGCCCCACACACAATTCTCCGTCTTTACCCAGGGTGGGACCGTCTAGAAAACTAGCGAGGCAGTTAACAAGGCACAGCATAAGTAACAGGATTCGCATTTTCAACACATATGTGTAGCTGGTTCTTCTATACGGCTCGGAAACTCGGCCAGCGTGTAACAGAAAGGATTTCCAACAGGTTGAAGAATTTCATCAACAGCTGCCCACTTCGCCGGCTCCATACTGAAGATCAAATGGCCAGAAAGAATAAGCAACAAAAAATTAATGGAACAAACCAACGAAGAGTAGATCGCTCAACGAATATGTAAGAGAAAATGGAGATGGACTGATTGGACATACATTGAGGAGGCCGTCAAATGACATCTCACGCCAGACATTCGAGTGGGATCTAAACGGGAAGCGACGAGTGTGTAGTCCTGGGGTGACATGGAGGAGATCGTGTGAAGAAGAGATGAAAGAGTTTGTTCAATCGTGGACCGAGCTGAAGAGGACGGCAGAAAACAGGACAAAGTGGAGATGTGTTGTTGAAGCCCTATGTTCCATTCGGAACGCAAGGGAATAATAATAATAATTTAATAAATATCTGTAATAAATACTGCACAGAATGTAGTTAAAGCCTACCTCTTCACCATTGAAGATCTAGGTGATAATGGATATGATTTTGTCCTGTATACTGTGCATCTTGCTCTGGGATTTATTGATTCAGACATTTCTGATGGTGTTGGTGTTACAACTAATGACTGATTAGAGGATGTTTTATGCGTATCAATAAGATTATCATTTGAGTCTGACCATTGTGTATCACTGGTGTGCATGGTGTTGATACCATTTGTTGAATGTAATAAATTCTTTTGTGATTCATAGCTCATTATTATTCCGTTCTCATTATGACCATTTGTAGTAGTCACGGTAGTAGTAGTGATGAACTGTGATCGATTGATTGGTGTAGTACAGGCTGTTGAACCATTCATAGCACTCCATACTGATGTACGCTGTTAGGATCAATTTGAATATTTTTATCAAAATTAAAAATCAATTAATTTATAATTACAAAATAATGATAATACTAATATTTTCAAGAGTTCGGTTTGTAAGGATTAGATTTGTTTATACGAGTTTGACCATGGATTGATATCAGTTAGAGAACCACTGAAAACCAGCACTGGAGTACTGGACAGCTGTTTCATCCTGGTTCGGGAATCGTCATCAGTACGCACTGGACCCAGGGCATTTCAGTTACAAGGCAAGCTCGAACCCCAGGGTGTGCGTACTGCAGATGATTCCCAAACTAGGATGAAACAGCTGTTCATTACTTCCTGATTTTCAATGGTTCTCTAACTGATATCATCCCGTGGTCAAACTCGTATAAACAGATAATACAAGTAATAAACTTCATAATAAACAGCATCAATGGTTTACAAGCCTGTAATTATTCTACATTTTGATGAAATCAGTAATTAAATATCAGTTCTTGTCATTGATAGCCAGTATTTGTACACCTTCAGCAAATATTCAAACATGCGAAATATATTCCCAGTTCTTATCAGGAATAAAAACTCTGTACCATTGTCCCTATTACTGCTATGACGAAGTGTTACTGGTTTGTGGTTGTCGTTTAACCTGACCAGTCACGGCACAATAATCAACTAATTACTTGAAAGTATTCCCAACACTGAGATAGACAGAGGTCAGATTTAACTGTGACAACAACGACATCAAATCAACAACGTTTATATATGTATATACATTAACAAATCTTAAGAAATTAAGCCATGAATAAATAGGGGAATCTAATTGCATGGAGGATTTCATCATGAGCTGACATCAGTTAGAGAACCATTGGAAAACCAGCTGGGAGTACTGGACAGCTGTTTCGTCCTAGTTTGGGACTCTTCAGCAGTAAGCTAAAAAATAAACCAATCAAAACGTCCAGTCTGATTTTTGTGTTATTGCCTGTTTAAATCATGACTCCACAGCTAACAAAGAAACTGATGCGCCCTGGCAATTTATATTTTAAAACCACTAACTTATTTGTCAAGCTAAACGTTGTAACGCTGCTTCGTCTTTCTAAACTACGAGGAAGTTTAATAAATAAATCACCTTGTGTTTCTTCACAAAAACTTTAATCATTCCTTTCAATCCCAGGGGAATACATAGGACTTCAAGTTTTGAGATTTGAAGTTTTTCGGTAGCCGTGTTGGTATGGCATAACCATACCCAACCTCCAGTTGAGGTTTGCACGTGCAACGACCGACAATTGAACTCCGACCACATGCGCAATTAGTGAGCATTCTTCTATTGATCTACGGATGCAAATAGATTCGTAGATCTGTTGAATTGAATGTGAAAGAATATTTTTTACTCGAAAATTATCTTCTAACAAACGTTTACCAGCTGAGAAGTATTGAGGTTAGGCAAAGATTGCTAGTAAAGCAAGGGAGTCAACCGATGAGGTAGCGAACCTATACTGACTGAGATGACTAAGAGATGTGTTGCCCATGGCAGGCAATCGTGGCTGACATAGGATTAGGTTGGAACAGAGTTTCTGGAAGTCAAACCAAAACCTGGAGCAAATCCATGAAGTCACTAGTAGCTAGTCTGAGCCACTTAGGGAGGTGTAAGCTGCCTGGCTGGAGTCTTCCAGATGCCAAGAACCAGTGACTGGAGACTATTGGTGATATGGCTCAAATTTGTTCTCACTGATGCAAATACATTCATTCTTTGTAATTCGCCATATCCATTAAACCCTCGGGTTTTCCCTTGCTGCTATTTTCTCCCTCTTATGTCTTTCTTTGTGTGCCACATGGAGTGTGGTATTTTGAAATGATGCACTTCTGTGGAAAGTTATATATTGTTGAGCAGACCTCTATTTGACCACTTTCCAGCTAAATTACTTGGCCTTTTACGTAAGAAAATTGTTTCTTTTACGCCTTTATTCAACATGCGACATTCATTCGTACTTTCAGAATATCTCTTAATTATTTCTACAGATAACAAGGAACTTAACAACTGCTTTATTCTTCTACATTATGCAACTTAATCACGCAATATAAATATCCATCATCTTTATGATCAATGTTACTGAAGTATTTGAATGTTCCGCATCCAAATGTTGACTGTTTTGTGGTTATATGAATCTGACAAGAACCGAACAAATATAATGACATAATTTTTTCTAGCTGAAAATGTTATTTTCGCTTTGTTGAAGTTTTCAAGTATCTGTTTTGTAGGGATTTTTGTTTGATTGCATGGAGGATTTCAAGTTTACCAAAGGAAATTGATAATGTGGACATATTGCATACATAGTTATTTTATCCAAACACAGTTAATTACTTTAAAGTAGTTATAAGTAGTTAGATAGGTATTGGAAGAAAATGCGAGGGAGGCAGACTAGTAGGCTATAGAATATAATGTTCGTTCCTCAAAATCTCTCTTGTCTTCTAGATCATTGTTACTTATTCTTGGGTTCCGAGTGCAGCATATGGCTTTAACAACACATCTCCACTTTCTTCTATTTTCTCCTGGCCTCTTTAGTTGGCAAGCTCTGAGACTGCTCATAATCTGTCATCCCCTCCTTACACGATCTCTTCCATGTCACCCTCGAAGTGACGACTCACTCTTCCCTTCCCATTAGGATTCCACTCAGACGTTGACTTGCATTGTATGCGATATCATTCGATAGTCTCCTCAGCATACGCCCAGTCTATCTCCATTTTCTTTTACTTGGTTTTGATCAATCGACTCTTGGTTGGGGTCTTCCCGGAGTTTCTTGCCACTAATTCTCTCTGGCCGGCTATCTGATCTTCACTATGTAGCCATAGTAGTGGACAGCTGTTGATAAAAGTTTGTAATCTGTGGCAAATACTGTCTTGGAGTGCCGAATTTCTGATCCACATATGAGAACTGACCGAATTCACATTTGTGTTGAAAATCCAAGTCTTGTCCTTTACACTGAGTGCGGAAGATTTCCAAACGGATTTCAGAGTGTTGAATGTCTGTCTTGCCTTTTCGATTCTGTCTGGCCTTGACATCTTCATCGGTGCCAACTGTCTGTGGTTGAAACGCCGCTCCCTAGGTAGGTGAAGGAAGTAACCTCTGTCAAATTCCCCCCTTTGATGGTAATTGGTGCTGGTTGTTGCTGCTCTTGGTTGGTTGGTTACCTTAATCATCTTCGTCTTCTCTAGGTTTACCTGGAGTCCTGTCTTCTCTGTCCGCCTCTTCTGCCAGTTCGTTGGTTTTCGCTAGCAAGTTTTTGAGTTTGTGTGACATTAAACAGATCATCCTTACTCAGTTTAATCGAAAGTCCTTTTGTAATTTTCATTTAAGCAGTGATAGAATTGCAACACCTAGTAATACCATGTGAATTACTAACATTGTGGACTGAAACAAAATGTAACGCAGTAGTAGTTAGTGTGATATCATGTAGATGAGTCATCATGTTGAAATTGCAGTTGATGAACTTGTGTCTTCACTGAAGCAAGTGAAATACCCCTCAGAGATTGATTGAGGCAAGGGGAGGATACTAATTTCATCAATACTTCTGACATGCTTTACTGATGAGTGGTAGTAACAAAAAAATCTGGGCACAGGGTTCCTTTCCAGTTACCTACACACTGTGACAGTGAGTTTTCAAGCTTGGTTACCTATTGCAAAAGTGGCTGAGTGAGTTCAGCTCGCACCAGTCCTAAAGACTAGACACATAATGCTGGTTAATCCTAAGTAAACAGTCGATATAATTATTTGATCTTCTTGACAATTTATAAGTGTATTAGTAAAGCTTGTTTAAGAATGTAACGGACAGATTACTCATTTGTGATCCAGAAAATATTTTTTATCTATTAGTGAACTAATCTGATACGCATGCCACATGTTCTTCCTTGATCACCTTAGACAAATCAAGAAGTTTTTACAGCACTAGTTGTGCACTCTATCGATCGAAAGTGGACAAGTTTCTGTCTGAAGTCATTTCCAAATGTGTTAATAAATTCACATGTATGTGTCACAGTAAGTACATTGATTTTCCCCAACACATTCCAAAAGATGTATGTTCTTCTCTTGTTAATACTATGGATCCAGTAAAGTCTTCCATTAGGTCAACCGAGAGCCTGATTGGCTCAGTGGTAAAGTCTCTGATTACAACACTGGGTGACGCAGTTTCGAATCTCAGAATGGCCATGAGTTCCTTCGAGACTACATATACGCCTTGCTGGCGAGTGAATGCTAACGAGTACGAAACCAAGGTCTAGCTAAGGCTTCCTGTGGCCGATCTCCTACAGCCAACTCATATATTTTGGGCTGTCTTCAACCAAAAATAATAGTCAAAATAAAATGCGCACATTTTATACTGTGCATTTTGATTCATATCTAGAAATCTGGAGACTAAAGTAAACACACTTCCTTAGCTTTGTATCAATGAAATACAAATGTAATCTGATCAGGTGCTTAGCATTTAAAGCGAGGTCCATTTGTTCCGAAGACTGAGTAGAGAAAGAACTCCAGGTCATCCAAGACATTCTAAGCGAGAACGGATATCCAGAGAAGTTCATTAAAGCCAACATAGGTTACACTAGTCGTAAACATGAACTGGCAATGGTGGAGAAAAAGCTTCTATTTTTACCTCTGCAATTCAGGGGGGATATGCCAGCGGAGATTCTATCGCAACGTTTTACCAGGGCGATCAAGAAAACTTTCTACTTTGCACGTCTGTGTCTATCCTTCGGTAGCCATCCAATGTTCACCCAGTAACTCAAAGATGTCTTACCTAACCTTAGCTCTTCGTCATGCATATACCATTTCAACTGTTCTTGTGGTTCAAGTTATATAGGGTGCACGATTAGATTGGTTCGTCTACGGGTTCGAGAACGCTTACCAGCTTGGTTCAGTAAGAGGGAAATGAAGTGCACAAAAAGCTCGATCCGGTCACACTTGGTCGATACTGGACATCGCATCGATGTCAACACAGCTTTCACGGTTATATACCGAATTCCGAAGTCGTTATCAGGTACAGTCTGCTTACGTCTCCTACACATATCTGAAGCTGTTGCAATAAGATCCACTAAACTGGAACTTTGTACCCAAAAAGAACACGTCCAGACGCTGTTCCTACCGTAGCCAAACTTGGATTGATGATTCTTCTTCTCACCAAGAGTGCTTCTTCCCCTTAACCCGCTTGGGTTTTTCCCTTTGCTTAATATTACAATTACTATTATTATTCGTCATAATTTATACACTTCATGCAAACATTCTCTCAATACTTAATTGGTGGATGGTGACTAGCAGTGGAATCCAAGATGCGCATTTCGTCCTATTTGGGACTCGTCATCTGGATGCACCCGCATTTCTCAGTGAGTGATGATGTTCCCACCGAGGCTCGAACCCAGTGCCCATAGTTTCCAACGCCAAGGCGTTATCCACTAGACCACTTGGGCCACGAGAGCCACCTCTTGTGCAACGGGTCATATTGATTTAATTGAATTTTAGATTTTTTTCCCGTCGATTGATTGGACCGAAGTGCTAGGTCTCTCAATACTATCAAATTTTCTATTTGTACTATCCGGACTTATTATTAGTGACATTATCTCTTTTCTTTATATATGCCCTCACCTGTTTCATTTCACAGATTGGTTATTTCATGATGAATCTCTCATTGCAGTTTTACTATCTCCTGTTTAACACAGACCACTTTGTACTAGCCACTCACCTGACACCTTTTATAACCTTCAACTGACTTGTCAATTTTCCTACCCCACACTCTACAAATCTATTATGACTAATCACCACCATTGTCCCCATTTTACAATATTTTGTAATCGATTTCAGCCTATCACGACGTTTGTCACACAAATACGACCATTTATTTTCACACTCCATATCTAATCTGTTATTCTACGCTAAAAATGCATCCGCCTCATAGCTGGCCATCATTCTAACGACAACAAATATTATATTTTATAATTGTAAGAACCTGAAGAGAAATTATTGAAAAGAATATTCTTCGTTCCGATTGACTTTGAATTTATGATATGGGAATATTTCACACTATTAAATCTTATAAAGGCAAGCTCGTATACCCTTCAGCCACTGGGATCCGGTTCAGTGGCCAGTCCATGAATTCTAACTACTACCAATTCGTGATTCATTTAGAATTCATGGGACATTAAATCGGGTCCCAGTGGCTAAATGGTATACGAGCTTGCCTTGTAACCCGAAGGTCCTGGGTTCGAATCCCAGTAGATGATTCCCAAACTCGGATGAAACAGCTGTCCAGTACTCCCTGGGTTTCAATGGTTCTCTAACTGGTATCAATCCATGGTCAAACTCGTAAAAACAAAACTAATCCTTACAAACCAACTATAGAAAATCTTATAAAGTTACCACTAAACTCTTGCAAATATTGTCTCATAAATGCATAAATAAACAAGAATACAAAATGAGATAGAAGAATCATACAAACTTGCGGAAGATTAACTTACCCCACTAGAATCAATTTTATAATCACTTTCATGACTTAGAAAGTGTTTACGACATTTGGCTTTCGGTGTAAAATGGTCATTAATAGCAATAAGCAATTGAAGTACTGTATCCTTATCACCACCCATTATTTCTGTTCCAGGACGATGATGGTTGCGGTGGGGAGAGGGGGGAGAGGATTCATGCGTTATTGAAGAAAAAAGCAAATTGGCAAATATTTTCAATATTCAGTTGTGAAATTTATATGTGTATAAATGAATTAACACATAATAGTAACTTCAGGTGGAATGTTGAACTTTTAGAGGAATATCAAAGTCCTATTGGGTAAAGTAGTTGATATGTAAGACTCAAGTTGCCTGTTCGAGTACGTCCTTGTTATCTACGGATAATTATCCCTCTACTGTGATATTTCTATCAAGTAAAATGGATAAATGACGATGAAAAAATCGATATTGGGGAATAAAAATCAAGTGTCTAGAAGCAAGTGAATGTTTGAATTATCAAGGTCAAAAGGTATAGTGAATAGATTTACACCCGTCTATTATTCACATTATTAACCTTATCAATAATAGAGAGAAGACCAGTATTTCAGCGAAGAGTCTATTTTCGGCGGCGAATTCATTTCCAAGGCTGTACAATCGTAAATATATATACATTGTTTTGCATATGTGTGTGTACATTAAATTTGTCAAACGAAAATACAATTAGTAAGTTTTTGGTGGAGTTACGTAATACAAAACGTCTCCTCCGAAATAATCTACAAAGCGAAGAACAACCTAACAAAGACAATACGTTTCCATCTTCTTTGCATTGCAGAAGCACTAGCCATTCAGCTAGAAGAACCAGAACTATACGTACAAAAGAAAATTATTCAACCACTTCTACTATCATGGTAAAAACTTTGTTGATTTGACTTAAATTTGTCCTGTTTGCTTGTTTTTTCTAACTACTTAAAACTCTTACGTAATTCCGTAATTTATTTTATTTCCATATAAACCCTGAGCACAACTCTTTCATCAAACTCTTCGTGTTATTATGTGACTCTTCTTTAACAATCATTTGTGTCAACTCATCACTTTTGTTACCGCTGTCTTATTATTAATATTTCCTTTAATTCCTAGAGGAACATAGGACTTCAGCCGCACGTCTTCATTGCGTTCGGTTCTCTGACAATATTTTCACCTGACTCCAGGTATGCCCACATGTTTTCCTGTTGGGATATTTTTTGACGTTGTTGTTGTGATTGCTTTATTTCCTATTTTCCTGATTCTAAATGGAGCAACCCAAAAAGACGCTCCTCTGTGACCTATATATTCAAGTAACAACCACCTTCTCATGAGTGAGGCTAGCAACCCAACCCTGTAAACAAAGTTGCTACATAAACTTCAGTACGATGAGTCTCCTTGCGACAAAATAAAAAGTATGTATGGGGACATGGAACGTCCACAACATGTATGAGGCTGGCAAAACTGCCTAGATTGCAAATGAGATGAAACGATATGGTATTCAAGTACTGGGAGCGGACTCACAAAACTGTCAGTGGGAGAGTCAGTGGACTACTCAGGTCACCGAGAAGACTACCTTTTTATATCAAAATCTAATTCCTCTGAACGCCTTTTGTATTACATAACTCCACCAAAAATTCACAAATTGTATTTTCATCTAAGTGCCTGGTGCTGAATTACTCTGTGCCTTCAAAAGCACCCACCTCCATTTTGTGTTCAGAAGTAAAAGATAAACTGCCTAATTTCGCCTCTTCCATGTGTATCTACCAATTTAACTGCTCCTGTGGAGTGAGGCAGTTACATAGGTCGTACAATTAGGCGTGTTTCTCGTCGAATTTCCGAACATCACCCTGCTTGGTTAAGTAAAGGACTAACAAAATCCATTCGTATAGCTATTTCTATGTCATCCCATGGATACAGAACACAAGATTGATGTCAACGAGGCTTTCGGAATCATTTACCACATACCAACAAATCTTATCTTCGCCTTAAGAGTTCGACTATTAAATATTGCTGAGGCTGTTGGGATCCACATTAAGAAGTCTAACTTATGTGTCCGAACGAAGGTAGTCCAGACACTGTCCTTACCTTGGCCATCTAGGTTCGAATGATCCTCAGTGTTTTGCAGAAATTTCCTTCATTTTAGTTGATGTTCTATTCGCTAATATATCTTTGTTATTATTATAATTGAGGCATCTTTAATGAACTGTGATTCCATGGTGATCTTACTCTCTAAATCGATATTATTTAGAAAACCCTAATATTGTTATTGACTACTAATTTAGAATATTTTATGTATATAAATGTATATATAATTGTAGAGCCAGAAGAGTAAATTATCGAAAAGGATATCCTTTGCTCAATAATTTGAGTAGTCGTATTAGTTGTGCCAGTAGTTGATGTGGCTTAACTAACTGTGTTAGCTGTTTTTGTACAATTTGTTATAGTACTTAAATTAGTTTTTTCAGTAGTAATACTGTGTCACCTAAAAGAGTTTGACTAACACTAGCAATATATATCATGATACTAGTAGACATCATTGAGTTTTAAGCATATTTTTGTCGCAAAATATTTACTACTTATATTGAACGTTTCAGTAGAATAATAAGGATGATAAAGATGACACTTGATGTCATTTTATACACAACATAAAACTCATTTAATTCTTTTTGTTATTGTATTTTCCTCTGAATTCATTCAAAAGCTCATGAGGGTCGACTGAAGATTGTTTGGAATGAAGTAAACTTGACGTTGCAACATGAACAGGAAATCAGGTAGCCCACAAATGTCAACAAGTCACTGATGGAGAATTAGTATTCGTAGTGTGGGTGATATGTTTATTTAATAACAACTGAAATAATATAAAGATTATGTAGATGATGACAGGAAACCAGCAGTGAGGTAAATGAATTTTATTCAGTACACATATTTGGCTCTTCTTGGCATGATTTTGGATCAGCTTTGCTGCATGTAAATGTCAGAATTGTAGTGAATGTGAAAAGTTAGATGGAACATGTTACATAACTTTGAGAGCTCTATTAATGTTGACTTGGTATCATGCATCGATGTGGTATACCTAATTTAACATTCTTTATGCTTATATGCCAGTTTAACTTTCCCTAAAGAGCTAGTAACATTCGATGTATGCTTAGGTGAATCTGTCACCAAGTTTCTAAACATTATCATCATGTGACCATTCCATCAGTGAGCCAATCAAATTTTTAGAGAAGGTCAAAAACATTCAACTGGTGGAAGACAATGAAATAATGGTGTTCTTGCATGATTTCACAGCATTATACACTTCAGTTGGTTCAAAACTGGTAAAAGAAACTAGGCAACCGATACTCTATAATGATGAAATCACAAAAAACAATGTTCAACTTGGATGGAACTCATCGAATTACTTCCTACAACATACTTCCAGTTCAATACTCAAATATAAGAAAAGATAAAAGGAACACCAATGGGATCGCCCGTATCAGGATTAATAGGTGAAGTCGTTTTGTAAAGATTAGAATTAATAGCTCTACCTATAATTAAACCACTAATCCAGGTACGTTATGTTAATGATGCATTTGCAATAATTAGAAGTGATTTGGAATACACCTACAGCATTAAATTCAAAAGAGAAGAAGAATCAGACAGCGAAATTCCATTCTTAGATGTCTCAATGAAGAGAACTAACACAGGAAATTTGAGAACACAAGTATACGGAAAATCAACGCATCTAGACCAAATACTCAACTGTAGTAGTAATAAACCAATTACCCACAAAAGAAACTGCGTGCAGACATTGTTTAAAAGAGTTGTAACACGCACTGTAGTATTCCGGTGTTGAAGAGAGTGGAGGAGAAATGCCCACTAACCGTCTTCAAAAAGAATGCATATCCTTACAATTTCATCAAAAAGTGTTTAAAGTCGAGTCAAAACACAAACAAGAAACCATCGTCAAAGACCACAAGAAAATTCATCCTACCATATATAAAAAATATCTCTGAAATAACAGCTAGAATATTGAGACCGTTTCAAAAGGATGTGGCACACAAATCAGTCAGCACAATCACTTCATTCGATATTGTGCAAACAGGGAGATCCGGCAGGAAAAGAAGATAAAATCATTACCATTTACAAAATAAATTGCATGTATGAACTACAATAAACACTATATCGGTCAAAGTGGGAGTCCCCACCGAATCCAAGAACACAAATTGGCTGTAAACAGACATGATATATATTCTTTCTTATAAATGCATGTGGATGATTACGGACACTAATTCGATTGGGATAGACGAAATGCGAAAAATGCCGTCAGGGAATTTCGAGAAGCCTGCTTGGTACTCAAGTGCATCTGTCAGAGATTAACAAACACATTACTATAAACCAAACTTACCAGCTAATAAAAAGTAAATCACTTGACAAGAAAGTCTGAATTCCGAGTCAATAAAAATGATCGATAGAGACGTAAATCAACAACCAGTCACGGAAATGGTTGTCAGGAGATTTAATTATATCACCATTTCTCGAGAAAGCAAATAAGCTCATTTTATACTAAAGCCTGCTCTGAAGGTGTTGTCTAGATAAGGGACGACGAAAGCTTCTCAATTAAATCAACCAGCTGCTCAGAGAACACAACTAATTCAATAAACACCACCTATCTTAGTCAGGTAAAAGACCCCCAAATTAATGATAATAGCAATAATAAAAATATTTGTAAAAATGCTCAAAATATACCTTCTGGTTGAATATTATTAAGCTTCACATTCAGCTGTCTTAACACACTGAAAACTTCATGAATATTATGTAATCGTTCAACAATAGTAATCGGTTGTAAGAGGAGACCTTCAATTTTGATTCCACCTAAATTGGAAAGAAATAACAATAAAGTTGACATTAAGAGATATATTTATGAGTCAACACATAAATTACAGTGGAACAAACTTGCCTATTTGAATAAGCAGAACATAGGCAGTCAATCACGATTTGAATTTCCTCAGGTACTTGGTTTTATGTGATTTTGTATTACATGTTATGTTAGGCGGTTTATTTTAATATACTGATGCACAAAAACACCTCGCGACTACTTTTATTCTAACCCTATACATGTATATGTATATAGATCACAAATTGGCAGAAGTTGGAATTCACGGGCTGGCCATTAGATTCTGTCCCCGTAGCTAATTCTCCTTGTTCAGTTTCCGATTCAAATATGAATTTCACTCCATTTACTAGTGAGTTTATATGTGTCAAGAAGCTAGAGTTATGTTGTGTTTCTAACACTGTGAAAGTGTCATTCACATATCTCCACCATATTTTTGGAGTGGGATTAAATTTACTAAGAGCACCATTTTCCCAGCTGTCCATAATGATATCTGCTACGTTAGGGGATCCCATTGATTTATCTTTCTTCATCAAATAATATACACCAAACACATACAATAGCATGCAATGACTCATCACTCACATCGGAAATTTAAAAAATACTAATACCAATCAAATCAAGCGATGAAAAATAATGGAATTGCATAAACGAAGTTAGAAAGTTGTGTGAGTGGTGTCTTGATATGATTATCAGCGGTAATCAATTGTGCTTGAAACATGTTCATCAGTAAATATTACTGTATAACACTGTAAGAATTATTGAAAATAAATTTCACCCATAGTGGAACTACAACTCATTTTGGTTCCACTTGATATCCTGATGTGTGATTTCATCAAGAGGTCTCCTTTGCAGAGTATGTCTAATGCATCTTCAATTCTTTCTTCATATTTTCAGGGTAACAGTTTCTTGGGTTGATCATTGCCTGCCGAATTCCCTTGTTGCTTGTTGGTTTCTTGTCAGTCATCTTGTGGTGGTGTAATACAGACAATGTGTTCCAACGGAATATTATTCTCACATATTCCCACAGTTCAGTACTACATTCGCAACAGGATACAATGTATCTATTTGAACATTCTATTTCATGTCGTTTAATGTAAACTAAAATCACACGCTCAGTGATTGGTTGAGGAATATAAACTGTATATATATGAATAGCGGTTTCATTACTTGAAAATATACCTTGGCTTCCGTGTCTTGCTTTCTGCTGCTGATCTACTGTAACCAATGAAAGCAAGTGTTGATGAGATTCTGCAGTAGCCTATTGGAAATCTATTTGGTGACACGTGTATCCAGTTTTTGAACTATATATTTATTTATTTATTTTATTATCGCTTGATTGCACACAGTATTTTGGTACAAGTATGGAATTTTCATCATGCGATATCGGCAGTCCAAATTTAGCAGGCCGACCATTGATATCAAGTGTGCGTCTGTAGGGAATTGAACCCCGGACCGTGTGCATGGTCGGCGATCATACTAACGGTTGTGCTACCCATATTTAAAATCCAGATGTTTTCCCTACTTCTGACTCCTGAGTAATGAATACCACCCACCCCCTTAACGCAAGACTTTCATTAACTTCGAAGTGAATTAGTTGAAATAAAACCATACGTTATCGAGAAGAATCCTCCACCCCTCTCGCCCCACCCTATTACCAACGCACCTTAATGATCTTTAATTTCAACAACCTACACAATTGATTTATGCTGACAAGTGATTAGGATTTTGAGCTTTATTTGAGTTTACATTTGAATGTAATTTGTATTTGTCACAAATTACTTCAAATGTCAATGATGAAACCACTTATCAAATACTAACAATAATAATAATAAGAAGAAGAATAAAAAGTAGTAAGTATCACTTTTATAAAATAAAAATATTATCATTAGCACACAAGATGAAATGTGTAGAGATAATAGAGAAACTTTACTAAAAAGAATGGGGGAAGGAGAGAGAGAGGGAGAGCGAGATTGATTGAGTTCATTTGTCACATTCTACTATGAAATAAGATGAATGACATATGCAAAGACTTATGAGAACGCTATTAACCCTGTATTACATATATATATATATATATTTATGTTATACCTTTTAGTGCCAACAGATATGAAACGGAGAGAGAAGCAGAGGCAGAGAGTTAGGGTAAATCATTCATTTGTGTAACATATCTATAGGAATTTTCTTCTGAAATGTCACTTTTGTGAAGACGAAGAATACAATGAATGCTCAAATCATTTCACTTATACTATTAGCAAGAATATCTATTTAAAGCAGTGTGTGCTACTTATAAACAGATACAAGTAATATATGGAGTCATACGTTGGTCGTTTAAGTAGTTAAATAGTCGCCAGTCACATACTGATGTACTCAGGAAAATCTCACAAAGCTGGCAGTTAGGCAGCAGGATAAAAGGAAGGTTGAGTTGACTGTGAGTTTAACAGATGCAAACAAAACGAGTGGAATAACAAGTCTCCACTTTGTTTTATTTTCTTCTGCCCTCTTCAGCTGAGTCCACGATTGCTCATTATCTCTTATCTCCTCCTCGCATGATCTCCCTCATGTCACCCTCGAAGTGGCGAACCCTTTGGGGTTTCTTATTGGGATTCCACTCGAACAATGGCCTAGAAATAGCGCGATGTCATTCGACGTCGTCTTCAACAGCGTGTGCCCAATCCATCTCCACTTTCTTCTGAATATTTGCTGAGCAATCTGTTTTTGAGACGTTTTGTTGCCAGAATTACTTGTTGCTAATTCTCTCTGAGCATTCATTTGGTCTTCAAAATGAAGCGAAGGCAGCTACTGATTAAAGTTTGCAACCTGTCGGAAATGCTTTCTTTGACGTGTCGAATTCTGACCCATATAAAAGAAATGAGTGAATTTACGTTGGTATTGAAAATCCAAATCTTATTGTTTATACTGAGTCAGTGCAGAGGATTTTCAAACTGATTTCAGATTGAATGGAGGAGTATCTTGCCTTTCCGATCCCTTCTGGCTGGCTTTGACATTTTATTCCGTTGCATCAGCTGTGCTTGAAACAATGCTTCCTAGATAAGTCAAGGTGGTAACTTCTGTCAAATTCCTCTCGTTGATGGTGACTAGTGTTGGTTCTTGTTGCTGTTGGTCGGTGAGTTGGTTATCTTCATCACTTCCGTCAACTCTCAGTTCACCTACGGTCCTATCTTCGATGCCTGCGTTTACTACCAGTTTGTTGGTTTTCGCCCACAAGTCTTAAAGTCCCTGTGATATTAAGCATTAATCATCTGCAAAATCCAGATCTTCTGGAGTTTTCTTATCAGTTCAACTTATTCTATAATTCTCACTTCCTACTCTCAGTCTTCAGCATTAATCCAGTCCAGTACAATTAAGAATATAATCGGTGACAATATGCAGCCAGCTTGTCGTAATCCTGTATTCACCTCGAAAGCCTCACTGAGTATTCCGTTTTGGATAAGCTAACACGAAGCATTTTCATATAGCTAACTGTTGAATGAAGTTAGTGATGATTTGGGGCACTGAATGCCATAGTGCTGAATTAGTTTCTGTCAGCGCTGCCTGCCGAAGGCCTTTTTGAAGTCTGTGAAGGGAGTGGAGGTAGAGGTTCGACTACCATTCTATAGTTTGGTCGGTGATGTGCATAGAGCTGCAATTTGATCAACACATAACTTGCTTTTCCTGAATCCGGCTTGCTCCGGACGGAGTATTACTATTAATACTAATCTCTGTAATATTAATATACCTACTGACAGTATTATTTCTAGTATTAAGAATAATCATAGTAGTATTCCTTCTGCTAGTAATACTAATATGATAAATATCATTAGTTTTATATTATTACTGCTGGTTTTACTTCCTGCAATGATGCAGATCTCAGGGAAAAAAAGTGCGAATTTTCTAGTAACAAAATTAACTCCAGGGAAGCTATCAGTGCCGGTTATTTGAAAGTTAGTCCAACTATGAACCAAAACCACTGACAGAAGGTAAGAACACCACGGGTATTGAGAAGTCCTTTATTTCTAGTGAAAGAATACGATGGGTAGTATAGAGTGGCAAAATGATAAAATCAATATGGAAAAATTGTGAAAAATCTCCATGTCCACATATTCTTTGTACTATGTCCCATTAATGCTTTCTACGTTGTTTTACAGCGTGTTATTCTTGTAAAATTAATTTATTCTATCCATTTCTACTTTTTTAAATGTGTATTGATTTTCTGCGTTAATTATCTACCCATTGACATTTCGACACTGTTTAAATATTGTTAACAAACATATCACCACTTGTTTGGTAAATTGTTGTGTATTGTAAAAATGCTATATATATTAGAGTAGAGCCAGAGAAGAGGATCTAATTGAAAAGTAAATATTTCTTCGCTCAATCTTTTGTGTTTTCCAAATGTCTAAATGGGGATATTTTCTATATTGATTTCTCTTCTTCTCAAACTAATCCATGGTTTCTTCATTCAGTATTCTTGCGGAAGACATCATACAGTATATTACTTACAAAATGTCTTCAGTAGCACATTTCACAATAAAACTGACTACACTGGGAGTAAGGAACCGCGGATTTATGCCATTCACATACATTATTTTATTGTTTTGTATTAACGATACTCTACTGTAAAAAGATTAGAATAAGTTCATTCACTTCCTTCTTAGTAACTTATTGTAAGGACGAAATAGGTGTTCCTTGGCTATTTGGTTTCTAATGACACCCTAACTGATTTTCGTTTTGTCAATAAAACCCTGATAAACGCAAATAGATGAATGTAAATCCTTAAGTGTGATTGTGGAGAAGCAGTGGTGTTTTCCCATGTAGTGAGACCTGATGCAGCATTTTGTTGAAGTCTTTGAATAAAAAGATCTATCAAAAGATGAAGTATGTCACTAGCCAGAGCCTATCTTGCAGCTAAGCTGGTTCCCGTCCGTCGGACAACATGCTTTTTGGTACCGCAATCAAAATTCGACAGATACCCTTTTCATGTTAACACCATACGCTTACAATAGTGCCATTACCAAGCATCTTATTGATACGGATGAAGAGGTTGATACTATGAAATCCTTTAAAATTATAAACAGATAAAATGACTCAATTCTCCTCAAGTTTGGCGAAGTAATCTCTGTCAAACGCCTGAAACCCGATTAATTTATTCAGAAATAAGCAGTTATCAGTCTCTCCTTGCCCTGGTAACTGGATGTTTTTATTCTCTCTTTCATTTGATAACATAAACTTTGGCTTTAGTCCCACTCCTCATAACCTTGATACAGTGTAATTTTTCTTGTCTCTTGTTTCTATGATTTGAGTTGAACTCAGTATACTGTTACCTAATTTATTAGTTGCTCATCATCTTACACACCTTGCACCTATATTGCGTAACTCCTTGATCATTGTATGCATACACTTAGTTTGTTTAAACTTGAACTAAGTGGGTAAAAGCTGTCCAAATTGTAATTTTCTGGGCAATGTTCACCAAGGTTGGAACTTCCTGTCAACTGACATCATGTAAAATTTGCAAGTATGCTAAAATTGTTTCTGTACATAAACTTAATAATTATTTATTTAGGCTGTGGTCAGCTGATGAGAAGCCAACGAAATCAATGATGGTACCATAGTATTCTGCACAAACCGCTGTTGTTCGTGCTTTATTCAAATTGCTTATAAGGTCAATGAACCTTATTACTTGGCAACAAAATATATGAATTCTCATGTCAACTAAAATAAGAATTACGTAGTTTTAAAACAATAAATGATGAGCATCACCCAAGAATGATTACCACTAAGAATCTAAAATTGCAAGGGCTTAGAAACAGGAACATCGTTCAGAAGGCTGAGAGATTCAGAATATTTATAAAGTAAATTTTAAACTTAGGAGACTGAAAAGAAGAAATAAGGTGATGACTAAACCCAGATATAAAAAACATTCACAGTGTCGCCACCAAGCCTAATAATATACGATAATGACAAACTTTTAAATTCATGTAAGGCAGTTGAAGGCAGTCACCAAGAAGTTATGGATCTAGATTTTTTTCCCAATTGGCACTTGTCAGCTAGGCTTGTCCACCGAAACTGATGACTACTAGGAGATTTGAACCGGTGTCCCTAAATGATCTATTCGGACTCAGTGCTATTGCCCAACAACTGTTATCTATGATATTAGATGGTTGAAGGCAATCGGCCACAGGAAGCCTTGGACCTAGGTTTCGTGCTAGTTGGCACTCGTCAGCAAGGCGTATCTGCAACCTGGAAGGAACTAATATTCAATCAGAACTGTCATCTATATTTTGAATAGTATTTCATTAATGGGAAGTTTTGATAGACTCTTATAAGTAAGTTAACCATGCGATATAAATCAATAACAAGAGCAACACTAACAAAAATCTATAACTTACCAATAACGCCTAAAAGTAATCCAATCGCAACACCATTACAGATATTCTCTTCAGTTAAATCACATATAAGTAGTGGTGGTGTGGCTTTGGTTAAGTGATCATTCAACCACTGTATATATGCATCTTCAAGGGTTTGCCCCTGAAACAAAATAAGAAAGATGGGATCAGTGTGATTATTTAGCTGAGTGAAAGCATGAATATGCTCTGAAGTCGGGATAGATATCGATTAATTAAGGAGAAACAAAGAAAGTAGTCAAGTGAAGTGGTTCTCTTTGCAACGATTTCATTTAGTTCCGTTGTACAATTTCATTTATATATAATTTCGTTCCTCACAAAAAAGTCGTAATAACAGAAGAGGCGAACTGTCATCAACATAACAGGTGATAAATAATCTAATGAATGAATTGTAATCAGGCTGCATACAAAAATCAATGAAGAAATAGAAAAAAGACTGTTTGTAAACAACAGGGCTGAAAAACTGTCTTTTGTATTCCGAGCTCTGGTTTTTCTTCCTTAGATTACTAAAGCCTCAACAATCTAAAAAAGAGAACGGCTAATATCATTATGGAAGACTGCTATTCACTTTGTAGATCTATTTGAAGGCGGAATTTGTTAAGATGGCCTGCCAAGTGTCAGTAAGATGTTCACTTGTCCCACTCTTTCAGAGCCACTGCTATTTTTCTGCGAAATGTGGGGTAACGCCTTTGAAACTTTTTAGATGGAATGCTTACCGAATTTGCTTAATACCTGGCTACACAAGAGCAGATGAACTGACAAATGCACATAAAATTAACTGGATGCGAGATCCTGTCTTTTGGGGTTCTCTGAAACAGTGGGTGTCTGAAGAGTACTACTCTTAGTGTTGCTGCGAAGAATATTCTTCTCAAAGGTTATGCAACCGTCTTCTTAAAGATATCATTTATCAAATCATCATTGAAATCAAGGTTCACCTAAAGTTTCTTTTATGGCAAACACAATGTCTCACGTCTACAAATTTTTGCCTTGACATTCTTGTCAACAGTGTCTTGGTAGATATTAATTTTAGACGAAGATTACTCTATATTAACAACTGGATGACAGGGTTTCAAGCATAAATTGTTGCCAATCATTTTTTATTTCTTTACGTTCCTGGGGGAATATAGGGCTTCAGGCTTGAAGTTTCGGTAGCAGTGATGTTTATTTTTACGGGATGGAATCGCTAGCCTCATGCCCAACCTTCTCTCTTTACCATTCTTATTACTGGCTTAGTGAGGTACAGGAGTGCGTTGGCGGCCGAGGATTGAACCCCGGACCACCTATGTGGTCGGCAAATATTCTACTGCTGTACCACCGATGCACAAACTGCCACTCATAATCATTATAATTTTATTCACACAGTCTCACAATTTGTCTGATATATATATTTTTCATCTTTCTGTCTCTCCAGCCTCCCTTTCTTGTTTGTTGCCACTTTCTATATCTCCGGTATAGGCATTGGATCATTCCAATTGCACCAATCAACCACCTTTCTCAGAGACCAACTTTGTCAGTTTAAGTACCCAATAGATCCAATTAATCAAAAAAGTAATATAATTTACCAAATACCATGTAATGCTGACTGTGAGGTCAGTTACGTAGGTCAAACTACTAGATCGGGGTTAACTAGATTACTGGAACATAAAAATTTAGCCAGACCTAGAATAGTTGACCCTGCTACGTTAAATAACCTAGAAAAAAGCTCAGTCACTGCATTGCACTGCATTCACGTGGATGTAATCACAAAATAGGGTGGGTGGGACAGGGTGGGAGTATTAAAAGGTAATATAGTAAGGTAAGGACAGAGAGAGGTTAACCCCTGAAGCTTTGATTATTGACTGAACACCTCACATGTGCAGTTGGAATGATGCAACCCCGCCTATAACGGATATATGGAAAGTGGCAACAAACAACAAAGGGAAGTTGGAGAGAGAGACAGAAAAAGAGAAAATATATACATAAGGCAAATTCTGAAGCTAAAATTGATATGATTATGAGTAGCAATAATTTGTGCTCGAAACCCTGTCATCCAGTTGTTAATACTGCATCATCGCTGAGTGATATTTAAAATAAACTTATCTAATATGGAATTAAATCCATAGTTGAAAATTAAAAAGTAATTTTAGCGTATATCATCACTGCAAGTCAAAACGATGAGGTGAAGATTTGATTAAATTGATGTGTACATTTATCACATCTATTAAAGAGGAATAAATTCATATTAAAACTGTAAAATTCAAGTACTCGAAAGTGGAAAGAGATTGTTGACAGATTAAATTATTCAGCTGAATCTGGCACTTGCGAATTTCACAGTTCGAGGTGAGTATTTCTTGTGGTTTATTATAGAAACTAAAATTATTCTGGTCATCACAGTATGTGACCTACGTGGTAGTCAACAATACAATCGAAAAGCACTGGTTCACATAATTAATTCGAAGTCATGCAAGGCGAACAATGATTTTCTCTAGTAGGATCAAAGTGATCGAAACAAAAGAAATTGGTGGTTCCGCTCACTTTTGGCTAGACTTATTCATGATATACTTGATTTGACTCAGCTCTTAGAGCCTAATTAGTTGAAATCCCACAAACCCAGTTTGATGACGACTTTGGTATACCAGTGATTGATAGAAACCATTGAGAACGAGCACTGGAGTACTGGGCAGCATGATGTTTCGTCAGCCTAGTTTGGGACTCATCGGCAGTACGCAGTCACTGGGTTTGGCACCCATGACCTTGCGGTTACAAGGCAAGCTCATATACCACTCAGCCACCGGAAGCCGAATCTTCAGTGGCCTATGAATTCTACCTTCTGCCATTTCGTGACCTTTGGTGCGACTACCAACCAATGTCATCGGCTGGAACTTCAACCAGACCCCCAACGGGAGTGACCACACTGGTCTCGACTTCTCACTAGAACTCATGGCAACTTTGTTCTGTAGCCAGTTACAAGCTAGCTACAGATCAGTTATCGAGGATTAGTTTGTAGCGATTCTCTTCGTTTCAGGTTACATGCTCGCTAGTGACTGGTGACAGAAGGAAGTTGCCTGGAGTTCTAGTGAGATGTCGTGACAGATGGGGGCCATCCAGTCTGGAGTAAGGATAAATGCTCTCCACCGATGACACTGGTTGGTGGTTGTGCTAGAGTCACGAATTGGTAAGAGTTAGATTCCATGGTCGACTGAAGATTCAGCTCCCAGTGGCTAAAAAGGTCTACGAGCCTGCCTCGTAACCGGCAGGTAATGAGTTCGAGACCCACTGGGTGGGTTCTGCCCATGAGTCTCAAACTAGGCTGATGAAACAACAGGCTATACAGTACCCCAGTGGTGGTTCTCAATGGTTCTCAAACTGATATCAGACCGTTGCCAAACTTGAAAAACTAATCATTTATCGTTTATAGATTTACAAGACAGGAACTGTTGCAATTTAAATACCAAGAACAAATAGAATCCCTACAAATTAATTTTTGAAAATTAGTAACTATTAGTGGAATCAGTTTCGAGGTAAATCGTGAAATATTTCCTCTTGGAAATTTTACGCTGCATATCTCACAGATGACGTATTAACAGTTGAACAAATAACCCTATGCACGATTAGGGGGATTTCTCAGCTGATTTGAGTTGATCCGGGTACACTGTTGATTAGAGAAACTTTAGTCTGATGTTCAGATTACATCGAGTTAGCCGGAGAACAAACGCTTCCGGTTGACATGAGTAGTTTTCAACCACTACTGATACCAGTTGATGAGTAATATGTAACATAATGCTACTAGCTGTTGAATATTGTGAGTTCTAATATCAAAATGCAGCTGAATGATAAAAACGACTTTTTCATTAGTTAGCCCATTTACACACAATCTATATGTAAATATAACTTTACATAGAGGCAATCATTTTCTAACTCATTGTCCATCTATTTAGTATATGTATCTCAATGATAAAAATATTTACATAGTTGCATACACATATTACATAAGAAGATGAGAAAATGGGGAGGATGAGAGTGAAAGAAAGCAGTGATATTGTTTATGTATATATGCAACGACAGAGTACAAGGGCCAGGCAACATATCGTTTATTGAGAAAATCAACAGATATTTATAGATTTCTATGAACATTATTATTCGTTATTATTAGCAGAGAAACAGCGTCTTCTGATTGGTTGTTTTCTTGCTCAAGGTTATTCTATCATCTTTTTGTGACCGTTTCTTAAAAAGTTAAGCCGTATATCTGCTAATCGTATTTGCACACGTTAGGTCTGCTGTGACACACACAGACACTACAAAGCAACCTTGTCCATGTAAAAGATTAAATCCCTTAAGATTCTCTATCTAATTGTGTCTATAAAATAAAGTGCTTCGAATGTGATGCGATATACATCAGACAAACCTGGCTAGGGAGAAATCAAGATAGTCAGAAGAAATGAACACCGTAGAGCCACCTCTGTTCGACCACGGAGAAATCCAGTTGAACTAGAAAAGTTTGAAAAATCACCAGCTATAGCTCCTCTACACGCTAAAGAATCAGGCAACAATTTTGATTTTGATAAAATTGAAATAATCCAGGAAAGGCATTTCAGAAATCGCAAAGAAGGTCTAATATCATCAGAAGCACTTCATATCAAATGGAATCCAAATTGTGTGAATAGTCTGAATGATGGAGTAAACCAGAATTTGACCTGGTTACAACACCTCCACCACTCCCCCATGAAATGAAAAAATCAACACAAATGTGATAAGCAGTTTCATTATGTAAACACACACTGCGTTTATAATTTTACACACTTATCAAATCCAACAATCTATACCTGGTTTTGTTATCTGTACCAATTGGCCAACTTGACAACGCAGAAATGACCCCATGCTGAGGAACGATGATTAAGTTGTTGTATATAAGCTGAGATTTTGTAAATTCTGGTTTAATAATACTACTTTGATAAAGCTATTAGCAGCAGTATTAAATAGCGAAGCAACAATATCGTTTTGTTTTTCATTCATTCCTTGGGAAATACAAAAAACCTTTATTATAATGCTTTGTTGATTGTTACCATTAGATACAAACCAGGGAACAGACACGTATGAACTATAGAACACGCACACACACACACAAAAGCAGATATAATTATGTTA